AGCGAGCAACTGAGCTACTAGTATATGTCCGTGTTAAAACACACGAAAGGACTCTAAAGCAGACTTCACTCTGATTGGGCAGAAAAACACAAAGCTTTTCTGGCACCAATCAGATGGCAGAACGAGTGCGACCGTTTGAAACTAGTCTTGTAAGACAATGTCCCCAGGGGCTCTTCGTGCCCTAACTTGAAATCGACTCAGCCCCTGGGTCTCCGAGGATGGTGGATAGCGAGAGTTCTAGACCAACTACAAAGTCAAAATCAATACAATTACTTTCGTAATCTTTGCGCGAGAAAGGGAACTCTCGACTTCCTCTTTCTCTCCTCTGCAGTTTTAAACTCTATCTTAACTTGGGTAATAGGAAAGCCCTTGAACGTAAACAATACAAATACAGTTCAGTAAATTGGCTCATTTATTATTTTATAGTTTACTTTAAACAGGAGACTAACAAACAGTCTTTTTCCTACTTGTTGAATGGCTGCTAACAGAGTGGGCATGGAACCAAATCCCAACCTGGGATTCGTCTCTTTACGGTGCCAAACTCGCAAGCGAGGCCAAATCCAAGAGTTAGAAATTTACTGCATGCATTCTAAGACAGAATTATTAGACACACTTCTTCCGAAGATAGCTTGAGAAGTTTTATCACCCCTTTCTCGTCCAACGTGATTTGTCGCTATATAAATTATAGGATCTCGCAGACCGACATTAGGAGGAATGTGACGGCAAATGACCTGTAAGGTGTCTGTCTGTTGGTAACTTTTCTCTCTCAAGAACCATGTCAACACAGACAGCTATCACTGTTTAAAACGCTGATGGAAGTTAGACAGGACAAATTGCAAGGAGCAATAGTTAATGGTAAAAGATATCCTAATATTCAAACACATCACCTTGTCAAGAGACAGGTTTTCGGCTTTCCTGTTTCCTGGTACATCATCGTGACAGAGATGGAAACTTTTTTTCAGTTGGAATATTCAACGTTAAACAAGCTTTGCCTACGATAACCTTTCCTTTTTAAGTATTCTTAAAACTTAAGAATACTTGGCAAGATGTGAACAGGTTGGTTAGAAGCTAAAACAAGGTAAGCCGACAGTTAGCATAAAATAAAAAAAAAACTTTTACTCCAGATATATAAAAACTAACTTCTCCTGGTGAATATTGTACGTTTCTTCACTGATTAGTGCTGAGAATTGCAGTTAAGTCAAAAAATCTCCACGCTGATAGTTTTCTCGATTCTTGTAACCTGCCTGGTTGGCAATATATTGGCATTGTTAGGAAATTTTTCTCACCAATCACTTATAGGAGTGCAAAAATTAATGTTGTGCCTTTACACCGTGGGTTCACCAGAACATTCATAGTGTGAACTTGCACCTAACGAAAAGGCATCTGTTGATCGCATTGTTTCAATTTGTTTTGCAGTTTCTGAAGGCTGACTTGAAACCCATACCTCGCACTCATTACCTTGATTTGCTTCAGTGCGTCAGTGACTTTTCTGTCCAAACCCTGCACAAGCCACTCAGTGTTAAGTCAATTTCAGCTTGTACTTTATTGCTCTTTTCCAACACAATTCCTCTATCCCACAGATCCACTTGTGTAATCTTTTCTTCTTTTATCATAATACTGAGAAGGAACTGCCTTCATATGGGAATTATCACTGTCTTGATGAGAATGAGTTTGTTTCCTGGTAGAGCCTCCTGTTGTCTCACTTTGTCTGGTCTTGGTACCTGAATGTCTACTCTGTTGAGACTGTCTCTCGTCTCTCTTATTTACTCCTTGGATTTGCCCATGTTTGTATTGTCTGTTAGTCTCCTGTATTCTGCTGTCCCGTTTTTTCTTTTCAGTGTTGTGCTCCAACAACGAATTCGCACAATGAGTTGGAAGAGGGTCGTTGACGTCGATGATGGATAACTCACTCACTCTTGTTTTGCGCTGTTTGATACAATTTGTTAATCCTGATGACGGGTTAACTCCGTGAGTTCCTTCCGTCATTGTAATTGTTATATCATCTGCTAAAGGCTCCGAGACTGGTAGTAATTCTTTTGTTCTTGTACCAGAGTTAACTTCCTCATGTGAGGATTCGATACTTGAGCTCTCCTTCAGCTTCTCTGCTGACGAGACTGCCTAGAACAAGACAAACTTTACTGAAATGCCTACCACCAACAAAATATTATTTAAAAGGAAAGATATCCTTTTTTAGACAGGAACGTGGGACTGCGAATTCCATACTCCAACTTCTCAGCTACAGAGACCTTACCGCTGAGTTACGTCATATCCAAGGATCACATGTGACGAGCGTTCTGCCTACATGTACTATGAAGATTGGCAATGTCACGGGTGTGGGGGGGGGGGGGGGGAATGAAAAGAAGAGCTGATAAGGGACTTGGAAGGAATCAAAAAATGGATAGAAGAAGGTTGACCTGTGACATTAGGTTCATCACACAACTAATGAAATTAAACAGTTCGAAAGAAGGTAATGGAATTAAAAAAGAAACCAAATGCTTCCATTAATTGCAGATTTCACCACATAAAACACTCAACACTGTTATCAGTCAATTAGATTACCCTGGAGTAAAATTAAGAGGAAAAAGGCACAGCCAAGTAAGAATAAAGTTTACCGCAGTGCTCTGAGGTTCTGCTTGTCTCCTAAAAGGATGCATTCCTGGATATCCATTAGAAACTGGTCTTGCAAGATTGTTTCCTCGAGGATTGCCTTTTAAAATCGAGTTGAGAGAAATGAGATGTGTTCGTCATACCATAGACTTTTGGTGACTCAAAGTGAATTTTAAGGTAAGCAACATGTGGAATCACAGAGAGACCCCATATTTGAGGGTGACTCAAAATAGTTTAGTTCTTTTCAAACACCAATTTCTTGATGATCTGCAGCTTCCAGTTTTTTTTTTAATTTGAAGTCTTGAAAACTTTCTTAGTTTGAGTCCCATGATCAACTTTGATTTCTGTCCTTGTTTATTTTGAGCCAAGCTTTCTACAACAGCAATTTGCGTCAGGAGTAAACAAACCCCGCACTGCAGAACGAGAACTGTTTGTACCCTAACATCAGTATGCGTACTCTCCACACTCAGCTGGTTTGTATATATTTCCTAAGGTGCTGATAAGGAAATCATTCCTCTTTTCTTGTCACCTTAATGTCTGATTCAGGGTTAGTATTGAAAGGGAGAAATTAGATGCGAGTCTGTCTCAGGTGTTAAAGTGTTTAAAAGGTTTTAAGACTGGGGCAAGTTTCTCTAAAAAGTCTGCTACAAATTTTGAAAGGAGAGAACTTTCCCTAAAATTTTTGGGACTAATTAGGTTTTTACAACAATATTATTTATCCATCAGACCTCTGCCTGGATCAAAACAGTAAGAGCCTGAAGAATTTCCTAAAAAATTTCCCAGGCTAAATTTCCTTAAAAATCTCCACAAACCCTTGAAATTGGTTGAAATTTTCTTGAATTAGTTTTGCTTAACACTATAAGATAAATGAAACATCATGACAGAGCTAACCTGTGTCAAGTGCTTTTGACCATAAAATACCTGGATCATCAAGCATTGGCATGTGGTGGCTTGTAGGTGATTTACATTCAAATCCTGGAGGAGGGCGTACTTTGGGAAAAAAGGAGATCATCTCTTTAATTCTAAGGTCTGGTTCACATTCTGAGCTTGTTGCAAAGAGAATAGGAAATTGAAGATGGAAATAATTTTGCACTTCAAATTGCCCTGCCTGCCAAAATGTGTTACAATAATTTTTATTCCCATTTGTTACAACATACAAGTGATTTTGAACATAGTTTGTAACAGATAAAATTAATAGTATGACACAAGCTGTGGAAATAATTTTAAAAATCTACACCAAATTCCACAGACAATATTAGAAAAAACATGTTTCTAAACACATCATGAAAAATTCATTGGATCCAACACTTGGACTACAAAACAACAGGCCCTGAAAACTTACAACTGTTAAACAACAACTCTTGGGATCTACCTTTAAATCTACATGGTGATGAGACGAACAGTAAAAATATTGTAGTGAAAAGGCCTTTTTCTCAAAAGAAAATTTGCATACCATCCAAGACAACAATGTCCCACCTTACCCCAGTTTCTTTCCCCCTCTTTTTTTTTTTTTTTTTTTTTTTTTTTTAGGATTGGGATATAAAATAATTTAAACCACAAGGGCAATGCTTTCAGTTAATTAATTAAGAAACAAAATTAAAAAGTAAACTATTTATGAACATTGCCATTGCAGAGAATGAAATTTAAAAAGTTGGGTCTTCGAAAACTTGTTCAAAGTGTGCCAAGATGGGTTTGAAATCACACCTTGGAAAAATTAAAAACTTATAGAAATTCCACATCTTTGGAGACAAAAGTGCATTTTACCAAAAAAGAAACTATTTCTGTTGCACTTGTCTCCAGTTCATGAGAGCTGTATAGCAAATTACAAACCTTGGAATGGGCTTTGTGCTTGCTGTGAAAAAAAAGGCCAGTCAGGGTAATGCTGTTCTGTCAAAGGTGCTGAATGATGCCAAGAAGTTTGTTGTTGAGATAACAGAGAATCTAAGGAAAAAAAAGTGACTCATTTACATAAAACTGTGCAAATTGGAGTTCTAGTAGTTTTAACTATGGTCAAACCTGTATTAAGCAGGGTAGCAGCTTGATACAGGTAAACTGTAAAGATTCCTTTTCACTTAGAGCATGATGCCCAGTTGTTGAAATGTTTCTAGCTCGTGTGAATGGAAGCCAAGATATTTTAATTGCTACTCTCAAGAAAACGTCTTTATCATACTTATAACATATCTACACCATCACAAAAATCTGACATTGCCATTTAACAACCTACCTGAGAAATTTATGTTTATGTTTGGTAAAAGTGCTCTGAGTCCATCCTGCCAGTTTTTGATTTCATTGCTCTGAGAGAGATCAACATGATATTTCAGAAAACAAAATCAAATCACACAAGTCATAAAATATATGTACACAACCACAAGTAATATATTGCTTTCAGGTCTAAACAGGAAAGAGTCAAGTGTTTTCTCAACTGGAACCTACATTTGGTGGAAATCCTGAGACAAAATTTTGTGGTTGTGAAGCTGTGGAAATGTTATGTGTCTGTCCAGGCACTGTTGTTTTGTTTTCCTCTTGAAGAAGATCTGCCAAACCTTTACTGCACTCATTCCAAGGATCAAAACCTTAAAAAAAGGAAACCACAGCAAATATTACTTAACAGACAAGTTAATTTAATGGCAAAAATACAAGAAGCAAGGCATTTCCAATCAATTCAACCTACAACTCCCAAGATCTGATTGTTAAATCTCCCCTCTGGCTGCTACACAGCCCTTGTAAATAAGTAACAAGAATTTGGTGTTAGATCAAGGTAACAACTTCTACCTTGCAAGTCTGAGTATTCTCATAACTTGTTTGCTAAATAATGCATGGATAATCTTCGGAGAAGTTATATTTTAATCATTTCTGGGAGTTAAAGAGTCAATATGCAAGGGTAAAATAGATTTTATAATTTATTTAGTTCTTATTAACCAAGCGGGAGGTCTGTATGGGAAAATCTTGACAGAGGTCACCAGGTACAGACCAAACACAATGAGGTCTGTACCAGCAACCAAGATTCTCCCAAACAGACCGACCTAGCTCGGTTAATAAGATGTTTATTATATGGCTGTGTCTTGTATGCCAATTGTTTATATTCTTTGTACCTTTTTTTTTTTTTTCTAGACTGGTCTAGATGCTATGGGAAAATCTAGACCGCCTTTAATATTGATTTCAGCCAATCAAATTCATGAATTCGGTAGTTCCCAGTCCTTGTGAGACACAGCCATATAACAACTGATAACTATTAATACAAGAATTAATTTTTAATTTAGTCCATTTTCACTGCATTAAGTTTTGGAGTGGGGAAGGACTAGAAAGGAACATAGGAACCATTTGTGCTAGTCCACCCTCCCACCCATCCCACCCTAGGGGAGGACATCCATCACACAGTAATCTCGTGTATGTGAAATTAACATCTCCTACCCCGACCCTGCAGGAGACGGGACCTCCATTTATTCATCCCTATCCAAGAAGACTAGAATATCTAACCCTTTCCTGATGTTATAGAAAGGTAGCAAATTCTTCTCGATTATTTTAGGACCCTAAGTGTTGGTCAGGTCGGGGCTCGAACCCTCAACCTCCCACACAACAGTGCAGTGCTCTATCCATTGAGCTAACTGGGGGGGGGGGGCGGTTATTATCATTATTATGATCATCGTGACTTTTAATTAGTTTTCTAAATGCTTCAACCCCTTGGAGTGATTAGCATCTAATTTCAACTATCAGTATCACCCCTGAAATAAGCATTGAGATCATGAGAATAAAGGAAATGATCACCAACTAAAGAAGCTCTTGATTGTGAAACAAATCTCCTTGTCAGTACCATAGGGAATGTATAGAGAACAGTATGGAGAATATGCATACTGATGTTAGGGTGTAATGAAAAGAGTCTAAAAATAGGTGCTGTTATCAGGCAGCCTACAGACCTAGAGTTGTCTAGGAAATAAGGCTGCCAGCTGAAATTTTAACTGAGGAGGTTTCAAAGATGGCTTTTGATAGAAGTGATTATGAGTGCATAACTTTAGAAGTGCAGGGTGTTCTTTACTGAGCGAACACTGGCCCTATAAATATGGCTGGCAATTGCCTGTATTTCATCCAGTGAATTAGTACCTGTAGCCTGCAACCCTAGAGACCAATCAGATTAATGTACTGTGATGACAGTTGTGGTCTTACCTAAATCATCTTCACCATCAACTTTCAGATGTAAGTTAGAAAGGCCCAGACCACTGCAGAGATCAGCAGAGAACAGACCAGAGGTACTGAAAAATGAAAATAAAGGGGAAAAAAAAAATCAGCTAAAAATAACCTCTGACTTTCAGAAAAAAAATTTTGATAAAAACAACAGCTAGCAAAGGAAAATACTTGGAAGCTGGTATGAAGCTACACTTTGCTCCAGCTAAAGGATGAGCCAGATACAAATTCACTGATCACTACACTTCAAGTTTCCAGTCACATACTGTTTGTAAAATGGTAAATCTCAACTCTTTCATTGTATTATTAAAGCTTCTTACTCTAAAGCACGTCCAGCACTTTCTGTATTTCCCCAACCTGTAGAAATAACAGCATAGATATTGGCAAAAACAACTGAATTTTTTTTACCGAGGGTGCTACTAAAAGTGTGACTGGAACATATCCTAATTCTCAGCCATTAATTTTTTTTTCCTACCAATGAAATAACTCTATAATGCAAAAAAGGGCTTTAGCTACTTTTATATACAATTGATTGGCAAGTAACAAGAAAAAAGTAATACAAGAATTCATATTTAGTTCATTATTTGCCATAGCTATCAATGTCATAAATTACTTGAACTCACAACAAATCTCTACTAAAAAAGTCAACAATACTTACTGAAGAATTTGAAAATATGAAAATCATAATTTTCTTATTTAATGCGGTTTCGTGAAATTTATGAAAGCGATCCTTGCAGTAATGAAATTCGGGTTCAAATCCCACATGGGCCTGAATCTTTTTCAGATCTTATTTCCACAACCACATCGGTAGCTAGAGTTCATGATTACTTTGAATTCACACAGTTCTTACCAGCATTGCTGTACGTTGACTGTGGAGGGTTTGCTGGTTGTTCTTGTCTTATGGTATCGGATGGCTTATGTTCTGTTGTAGTTGTAGTAGCAGATGGGAGACACAATTCCTCCCAGTCCTCCACCTTTCTATCTCGAACTGAACTATCTTCATTCTCTGAAATATTTTGACAGGTAACTCCTTCTTCGTCCTCATCTTTGCCAGCCCTTCAACAGTCAAAGGTAAAGGTTAGATAAGGTCAAGTCTGCACTTCAGCTATGTGGCCCACAAGGCACCAGAGCCCAGTCTCTGTAGCATGAGGCAACAAAGAGCACTGCTACATAATCACCTAGGGTGAAACACTAGTCCTTATTGGTAACCACCTGGATTTCATCAGGCTTCCCTGACAGTGTCCCAGTTTTCTCTGGGTAAAGGTCATATTTCAAAATTTTGTTAACACATTTTGAATCCAGAGAGGAATAAGAGAATGACATTGCTACAAAATTTTGTATTACAACATTGTCAAGGGTTCTCCAAAAGCTAAAATACACTCCCTGAGTCTGTAAAACACTTTTTCCAAGCTAAGTTAAACTAAATCTTGCAACACTGCACAGATTTCATGCAACACTCAAGTAGTTGTTTCAACTTGTAGAAAGCAAGACTTTACTGAGACTTTGTCTTTATTTTTCTTTCTCTTTTAGAAGGCTTTAAGTGTAGTTTCCCTATTTCTTCACTTTTTTCAATGGGTAAAGACTGCACACAAACCCTGTGAGTGGTACATAAGAAAATCAAGTTATGTAGGAAATCATACCAAGCTCCTCCTGAAGGAAGATGAGGGGATACTCTGTTTTCACCACCATCTTCAACTGGCCACTCTTCATTTTTATCCTTAAAACAAAACAAGTAATCAGAACATCAGCAAAAATTATAAGCTTTACATTGGGTATCAGAGACATTAACTGTGGGATTAAAAGTGGAGTAAACTAGAGTCAATCCCACATCCTAGCTGCATGAAAAAAATGTTCTTGGGGTTTGGTCTTCCAAATGTTTTTGTACCAGCCCCTTACTGCCAACATATTGTTAAGCAAGTTCATGAAGTTCTGATCTGATTGGGTTGGATACAAGTCCAAGACAGGTAGCTGTCTAGCAATACCATGAGCTATTAGGTGTGCTAGTTCTCATTTAGAAGCATGGTGAGGGAGTACCCTGCCTACGTCATCACTACACAGCAACATCAGTTTGTCTCAACTTGAGCTTGACCTTCTCTGCCAGGAAACTTTGCATGTTTGATTTAGGATATTTGATTTTGAAGATTGTTTTCGATCTACAAAAAATAAGTTTCTGGCGAAAAAAAAAAAAAGAAAGAAAAAGCAGGACAGTGCAGTGCAATGCTTTCATTACAAGAACTTATATTATGACAGTATACTACAATGTAGACATACCTTATCATTGCTAAGACCCCTGGAAACATAATATGACAGAACTGTGTAAGTTGGTTTTGTTAACAATGGTGACGATTCATTAGGGAGCTTAAGCACCAAGTGTTCATGATTCACGGAGGCAAACCGGAAGTGGGACTTGGAATATTTTGCCTACTGCACATGTCGAAAGGTTGTCGTGATTTGCCACAGCGGCCGCCAAGGCACTTGTGGCCTCCGTGCTGATTTTCCATGACCACGAATGGTCTAGATTGTAAGTAGCAAAAAATCATAACGTTGTCAACACCAAAAAGAGCTTCTGAAAATGGATTCGCAAAAGGAAGGGAAAGAGAAGTCTTCGCCGTACATTTTCAGTTGTTTTTGTGTTCAAATTCATTCGGGAGCTTGTCTGCTGAGAGTTGTCTTCTCACACTTAAATTCGACGCCACCTGTTTACTTGAATACTTGCCTTTTTAGCTTTCTGCACACTCATCTTTTATTAATTTTACAAAGTCTTATTAAATAAAAATTTAAGTGACAATTTCAGTTTTTTGTTAAAAAATGCATTCATATAAACTTTTAGGAGTTTCTTTACCGACAGTTTTCTTGGCATTACCTCTGTATGTGCGACTTGTCTACTTTGTTAAGTGTATGGTTAACAATATAGAAACTCAAGTATAGGTACATTCTGGCTCGGATATTTCATCTGAGTCAAATCGCTAGTACAAGCCATAGCTGAATTCAAGGTTTCTTGACATGTTTTCTTCAAGCAACAGAAGTAGTTCTTCACCACTGATGATGTTCATGTCATGGCTTAATAAAAGCATTTCCCCAGCTTCTTTAAATGAACACATTTTCGTTGTTTCAAGTGCGAACACACAACATAAAGCAATTTTTGTTTCTTTGTTTACATCATGGGCTTGCAATTTTTATTTTCGCATGCTTTCTACCCTCATGTCCGTCGTGAAAAAAAAAGGAGTCTGCTTAAAGTAAAAAATTCGAGCCAAGAACGCCAATCTCCATCTAGTCCCCTCACCGCAATGAGCCCTCCATCATGAAGAAAAGTCCTGCTGCTTAAGCTCCCTAGTGTGAATCTTTTTCATTTTCTGATGATACCAAGATGGTTTCAGAGTTAACACAGTCTAGCTATAAGAACATAGTAACCACTCAGTTAATTTGAGGCACTCACATTTTCTTCGAATAAAAAGCAATCAACTGCTGTTCATATTCTTGATGTTTTCTACAAAAGAATCAAAATATCAACAAAATCAATTGACTTTTAATAATTTAGTGCACAAACCAAAGGGCCACAAAATGTTAGGATGATAACCTAAGTAAGTTTTGAAGAAATGTTTTAAACTGAGGGGGGAGGGGGAGGGGGGTTGAAAAGAGGGGAGAGGAAGGTGAGAAGGGAGCTCTTGCAGCTACAGATGTAAATGCTTTATAGGAATGCAGCTAACAGACCAGTAAATTTTTAAGAAAATTAAAATGACAAGGAAAAGGTTACAGACCCTGCCTGCATTTCATCCTTTGTAAAGCTTCCTGCTCCATCACCTAACTCATGAAGATACATACAATCCTACAATATATCAAACAACAAAGGCAAACTCAATTCTCCATGCTAAATGTTCCTACATAAAGATGCATGTTAGATTGTTTTCATATTTTGCTCTCTTTGACACTTTTCAAATAATTGGCACTTGTCAAAGCTCAAAATGAATTTCAACCATTGGTTATGTTAGTTAAAAGCTGTGGTTAAAAAAAAATTCTAGTCAAAATGGTTTCAAAGTAATTAACTAGAAGTGTTTCCCTTTGCTCCAGAGAAAGCACATATACACAATGTTAACCATAATCTTGAAGATAAAAATAAATTAAACTTCTGGTAGTTGGAATTCAGTTTCTAATGGTAACAAGACTGAGTGGAGTTCAGTTGGGCCTGCACTAACACAAAATTAATTATTAACAAAATCAGACAACTGCCCAGCAGTAGTCCAATTTGTTAATCACAACACAAAGTCTTGTTACTAAGTAATCAAAACTAAAACAAAACTTGAGAAAGAAACTAGACATCCGTCATACACTTTTACAAAAAAAAAAAAAAAACTGCCCAGCAAAATGCAGGACAACAGCCCACACAAGACACATACTGTCCACTTACACAGGCATGATGTGTTAACTGTCCTATTTGTACACCATCCAATTACAAGCATTGTCCCATAAGTGCTCAAATCAGGCTGGTGATAACCGATTGAGAATTATGTTGTAGTTTTAATTAAATTTGAAATCCAGCTCTTAGCAACAACATCTAAGCACAAAATTAGTTAAGTTGCTTATTTGTTTCAGGGTTGATAAGAAATAAAGTTGTTAATAAATATAAATATCTCCTTATCGGAATTTCTGTACTGGACAAACCGATTGTCCCTATAACAAAAGAGCTAGTCCAAGGTTTACTCACCATTTTAGGACAGGGTATGTTTCTAAGAAAGTAACTACAATATTTTGTTGTCCCCAGAGATGCCCTGTGAAAAAGAAAAAGAAAAAAAAAATAATTACAAGGATACAGAATTATGAATGACATTGGATTGCAGAAAATTTATTCAGTTTTCAAACTTTAAGCATGTACAGATATCATTACTTAATAAATCCATCAACATCAAAGGGAACTAAAAAATATCAGCAAAGACAACTACATTATGTGCTAAAAAGCATCGATTAATAGAGTGATTTTAAAGGAGTGACAAACGTAATTCAGGATTTTGCTTTAATTCACTCTGCAATTGATCCAGATAACTTGCCTCACTTTCTCAGCCAATCAGATGCCAAACTAAAGTCAATCACACAGTTAGTTGCCCTCATTTTTCTGTAGTTAAGGCAGTTTGATTGTTTTAACTTTGATCTCTCATTGGCTCTTAACCCTTTAACTGGCAGAAGTGATTAACATGAAACTCCTCCCTATAATTTCCATACATTATCCAGCAAACAGGTAATGAGAATACTCAAACTTATCAGATACAAATTGCTATCCTGATCTAGCCCCAAATTCTCATAACTACTTTAAAAGGAAATGAGTAGCAGCTAGTGAGGAGAATTAATGATCAGATCTTGGCAGTTAAAGGGTTAATAATTATGTAAATTTGTCTTCTAATTGTGATAACTTTGCTTTTAGTTTGATGATATTCAATCTAAAAGCACTCTTCTCTAGATATATTATCTCACTTTAGTGTTCTCCCATCAAGATGAGTGTTACACACGGCTATTATCGCTTTAATTGCATCCTGTAAATGAAAAATAAAATGTGTTGAAACGCTTTAAGGGAAGCCCAGTCTTTGGGCAAAATATCTGTAAAAATGAATGCGATTACCTCTTCTTTCACATATGTAATGTAAGCACTCGCACTGGGACCCTGATAAAGAAACACACAGAAAAATATTAAGTGAATAAAATGAGAGTAAAAATTATGAGAACATAATATATTTTGCCACTTAAAAGTTTCTTGGTGACTTCACCTAAAGGACTGGTTGCTAAGTAACATAAAACTTGAACAATATTCTATTTGATGGAGTTATCTTAGTACTTTCTCCACCTTCTTAAGGTAAGATGGAGTTTAAAGATAAACAAATAAACAACAAAGTTAATCATTTCTGAATAGCTTTGAACAGCTGACATGCTTTATGTCCTTGAAGTGACTTTGGAAATGCCTGTGGCAAGCATTCACTCTGAGACTTTTGTGGTGAAAAAAGTTTGAAAGCCAGGTATAAAATTACAATTTTATACCTGTTCATGACAGTATCTAATGGTTAGCTCTCAGCTCTATAGAGACCTACACAGTGGACTTGTGAACTGAATTTAGCATAATACTAGGTTTCCAAGTTTTACCACATTCACCACTCACCTGGGGTCCTGCATAATTTGTACTGTTATTCACAACAATTTTGTGTATTTTCCCAAACTTGCTAAAGTACTCTGGTCTTTTAAGAAGCTGAAAGGAAAACACATAAAATACACTCATAAAATTCCACTCAATTCTTGAACTTTGCTCTGTAGTATATGAGCATGCATGCAGTTTGTTAACTATTAAACAAACCTCAGGATCTGCTAATCTTTGAGTTAATCCAACTACGAATACCAAATTTTTCTGTACAACTCTATAGGAAAAGGGAAATATTCATGTTGGTTATGATGCAAATTGTGATTCTCCTATTTCAGGGACATAAACCTCATCACTCCTTGAATGTTCCGCTTGCCTTTTCCACAATTAAACTATCAAGTGACAGATCATAATGCATATTTTATTTTATTCCTGAAAGGCCAACCATGCATCTTTCACATAAAACAATACATCAATTGAAGAAACTATTGCAGTAAGTACTTTGCATGAAAAAGAAGAGCAGATCAAAGGTGTTGGAATAATGAAAGCACAAAAGGAAATCACCCTTTGCAGAGATGACTTGTGTATAAGACTTTCAATTTCTGTACATCTATACAGTTTTGAAAGCACGCCATTTTTCAGTTGTTCAAGCAACAAAACTTAGTCTTACATGTCCCAAGGTTTGTACTCTTTCAAAATCAGAATTTCTTTTCCATGGCATATCACCCAGAAGCTAATTTCAAAATAATAAGGACAACTGTAATGCAATAAATGCATTTTTCCTTCATTCCAATCAAAAATGATTATTTTTAGTCATTTCCCATCACCCACACTAAAATTCCATGACTTTCTGGGCATGAAATTAATTTCATGGAATTCTATAGCTTGCCAGGTTTTTAATTACCCAACCAAATCACACAATGGCTAAAATAATGCTGTAAATAAGCATACAAGTGCATGCTGATGTGCATTTCTCACCTCACATTTGCTAAATGTTTTCTGTTCTCAGTTACTTTCTGTTTTCTCTGTACATCTTTCTGTTTCCTCTCTTTCAGAATTCTCTGTATTCTGCAAAACAAAGGGTATAACTTAATTGGAAAAAGAAGCCGGAAAAAAAAATTTTTTCCATAATTTAATACAATAGCTTCAGAACTATTTCTAAATTCATAATGAACCCACTCATATGCAAATTAGTTTCTATTGTGCTGAGGGCTGTAAATTCTTGCAACATCTTATTTAACAGGAAATTTTTTCCTGCTCTAACTTACTTTGGTGACTCTAAAACCTTAAAAATCTTAATACTGCCTAGTATGCAAACAATTCAGGCAACTTTTTTAGAAAAAGTACAAAAACTGTACCTGGCATACCTACTTTACGTAACCCATGACAAGTTTGGTCTGAACCTCTTTATATGGTATGTTTGTTTAGAAAACCAAACTGTCTCTGATCACAACTCCCACGATCTGATTATTGATTCTCTCCTCTAGCTGCTACACATTTCCTTGAAAATTAGTTTTGAGAGTTCCCAGGTAAAAAAGGCAGCAGGAATTTAGGTGGATCTTGCCAATCCCATCTGGGATCCCAGGTGGGAATGGTAGGATCCCACCTATGCAGGTGGGATCCCACCTATGCAGGTGGGATCCCCCCTTTCCCACCTGGGACTTAATGATCATCCCAACTGAGATCCCACCTCCCACCCAAGATTGCAGGTGGGATAACAGGGATCCCATCTGTCCCACCCCGAACTCAAGGTTATCCCATCTGGGATTCCACCTCCCACCTGGGACTCAACAGGATATTTTTACCTGGGTCAGCTGTTAGATCAAGATAAAAAATCCTATCCAATATGTTTGTGTGTCCTGGCTGGATAATTTTAATCACTTTTTGGAGTTAAAGTTTAATACTAAATAATTTTTAAACACTTTTACATAGCTTCTAAGTTTATTCATTTATCTTTCCTTTTCGTGACTGACCTGTAAAGTAGCTTTATATAGCTAAGTGTTAGCCACGTTAAATAAAGTATGTTAGTATGTTAGTAAACAGAATTAGGTATTTCTAGATTTTAGCCCGAGTTTTCAAGTTTGGAACAGTAGACAGTAGCAGTTTCTGATAAATTCCTGTCAATTGCACAGAACAATGAAAGTACAATCTTAACTTTTTCCAGATGGTCCAAATTGTTGAACAAATGTTGTCTGCTTTGCATTATCAGTGTTTCAGGCTTCCAACATTTTGGTTGCCATGACAGGAAGAAAAAAGTGTTGAGGACTAAACACAGAGAAGTAACCAATTCGAAAATCTGTTTTCAACAATCACCTAGCAAGCAGCTTTGTTTTCAACTTTTTGTACCATTTAGACTCTTCTCTGACATAGATTTGTCTCCATCTCATTGGCTGTTTTAATAATAAGCAGTGAAGATGTTATCTGAATCTTTAATTCTTCAACTCCCACGAGCGATCAAAATATAATTTCTACTTACAATATCAATACAAGATCAAGCAGACAGGTAATGAGATTGTAGAGAAACATCTATTAGAACATTATTAGTCAATCCAAAACCAAATTCCCCGAACTAAAATCACAAGGATTGTAGAGCAGACAATAAGGAGAATTACTAAATGAGATCTTGGGAAGAAATTGTCATGGTGGGCAGATAGGTAGTCATTTCGCTTTCAAAGACAAGTGTGGCAGCCAGCAGAATAGCACCTCATGTCACATGTGACAAAGTGTTTTTCTACTAATTTTTTTAAATCATAGTCTATTTGGCCAATCATTTTATCTATAGCAACCATATAAAAATTTTGGATTACTTAACATGAACTTTAGAAATGAGTTCAGCTTGGAAAGTTGCATGTATGCTTGTTCAGTAAAATGTTTAACTATAATGATAATGTTAATCAATAAGAAAAATTCTTGTTTACTTACTCGTCTTGTGATAGGGGGGTATAAACTGCAGGATCTTCACTGTAGGGCTAAAAGGATAATAACAGAAAAAATTCAACACCAGTCATGGAAAATTTTACCACCATTGGCAGTAAAGTAGCAATCTGATTGGTCAATTTGTCATTACTGCAGACCTCCTTGGCTGCAACTTATAAGTCTAAAACATTTTTAACACTGATAACGAACATCTTTGGCGATAAGAGTACAGACCATGCTAAACTACTGTTCATTTGATAAGATATAATTATGTTGTGGTTCAATTTTATCCTTCATTGTTTTTGGTTATGGTAATGTATGATAATAGGGTTGAAACAATGGAAAATAAAATTTAAACCAAGGATAAAATTGAACCACAACAAATAAACATAGGTTCTCTCTATATCTAAAGTTTAACTGAAAAAGCAACAATTTACATGTACACCTGACACAGGTTCAGAAAACTGAGAAAGGAGGTGAAATAATCCTTTAAATATAACTCATCTACAAGGCCAACTTTCAGTTCATTGCAAAATGTAGATAGAAGAGAATAAATAATTAAGAACAGTCTTCAGTAACGTGCAAATGGATGAAAAAAAGTTCAACAATTTTCAAACCTTCCTACAAGCAGGACATAAACCATTCTCATCTGTTCTAATACGATGCCAGCAAAACCTGCAGATCTACAACAAAAAATTCCAGGGTTAAGAAGATATTTCACAAATCTATTCCAAATGTTATATCAATTGATCCTGCAATTAGTACAATGTTCTCTCTGTTCTCTTTCTATGTGCCTGTTCTCCTTTTTTTAAATTTTTGTTTAAAATCCCATGACAAGTTATTACTCTTGATGATGAGATTTAAGAGATCCAGGTATAATATTGACTTGTAATAGTAATTATGCAAGAAAAAAAAAGAAAAAGTCATGCAATACTGAAGACCAAGATTTCTTAACCTACTGAAAATTAAAACTCCTAAAACTGATAAAGGAATAAAACTTTCTCCTACTAATTATTATTTAATTGGGGAAAATTTATCTTAGGATGATTTAACAGTTAGATCGACCACTCATCAAAATCATGCTGATTATCGGCAAGTATATACCAATAAAATCATCTGGCTTAAAAAATGTACTCAATGAATGTTGTCTGTGTATAAAGGGTAGCAAGGAAAAACAGCATAATACATTTCAATATCTATGACTTAGTTTAAAATGAAACGAGTTCAAACTCATAACTTGTTTTTCTTCCAGCATCTAGAACCAAGTGGTCAACAAACTTAACTAGTTTGAGACTATTTTGCGCTAAAAATCATTTAAAACTAGGATCTCTCTGTGCAACAGTAACAACATATAATAAACTAAGGTGAGTGACTCAGATTAACAAAGATTTGGAGACAAACACTCCTCTCAATTCACATTATTTGTACTTTGTGAAAGTTTGTAAAATAAACAGACAAACAAAGCAGTATGTGGTATTTTTCAAAATTCCTAAAGCTAATTTCTATCAGCGTGACCAAGGTAGCTTAGCTTTTGATCACATAGAATAGATGACAGAGATTAGCACTCAAATATACAACACACGTGTATCTACGTAACCGAGCTGAGATTGGAGAACCGTAAATATATCAAAAAATTATTTTCCGATATCTTCAGCCGGCCTTTTGCTTCGTGTCAGAGTTAAATCACATGTAGCTTTTGTTATGTAAGAAGAAATGTTCATGAGACATCCAATCGAATCTGTATTCATTCAGATATTCACTTGCTACCATCGGTGGGCGTTAAATGTTGATTACGAATCATACTTGTGGAAGAACGGCACTGACTCAAAGAAACTAAAATATTGCTCAACCATTGAAATTGAATTCAGCATTCGTAAACAGCAAATCGTTTTAGGCTGATAAATCTTACAGCTAGGAATTTAGAACAATATTTGAAAAGTGTTGAGAGTCACAAAGATTTACATGTTTATGTATTAACATATTTGTACAATTACGCGTCAAGTTGTTTCGTACTGCATAGATCTGTTCACATGAAACGTTTCTCTATGTAAGTCATCTCACATTTCATTTACCTGATATCCACAAGTGCAAGGGAAGAAATTGACGTCGTCAATTTCCAACTGTTCCATGCACAACGGGCACTGCGTAATAAATACAGAACAGACAATTTATTTAGAACTCCCGCCAATAAGCTCGACATCAGCCCGAAAAAACCCAGTAAATTCAACAGCACCATTACCTCTGCATCGGAAGCTTGCATGATGATCTTAAAAAGCCGTCTAGTCAGACAATTTAATTGCAGAAATAAGAAGCTATTCGGTGTACAAAGTATTGTAGTTAATTTCTTGACGGGACGAAATAGACAACTTTTGAAACGTTTCACCGGAAACAGAAATGTCGGCGGAAACTGTCGGTGTGTTCGATGGACAGCGAGTTCTTCGTTTCCCTGGGATTCCAGAGAGTTCAGAAATCTCCAAAGACAAGAAGAAATGAAGCAAGCAATAAATATTTCTTGCGGAAAAACCCTCGCGCTCTTGCCCAATTTCCCTTCCTTCGCTTGTCATATCATGTCTGTCACTCGTTATCTATGGCGCATGAGCCTCGCGCATATGACTTGTTAGCAACCAGCTGTGATTGCGGGCTACGTGACGTATGGTCTGTAAATTCTGCGATCTGATTGGTAGCCGAACGGGTAAGATTGCGATTGGTTCATATCGGACCCTGCTCGCAATTCCACGCGAAAATATGTCTCTAAGCAGTTCATATTGTACGCAACTTCTGAGGAACTTTAGTAATTCTAATAGGGAAAAAAATTTAGCCATGTTTAGCAACAAAAAAGGCGATGATACCGAATAAGAAGTCTTTAAAAGGCGTTCTAGAGGAGACCAAAAAATAAATAAATAAATAAACAAAAAAAATCGCAAATCTACACGGAAATAATTGCTTGGCGTAATTTTGTCATGTAATAATCCCTTTTTTAGCCAAGCTTGTTGGAAAAAGGTGACAAGATAATTTCTCTTTCTTTTTTTGGCATTTCTATGACTTAAGCCTCTCTCTTTTAAAGATTTTTAACCATTACAGTTGCACCCGCCTTCCTTGATGGCCCTTTCGCAATGGATCCGGAGTCTGTTCAGTATTATTACTAGAAAGTAAAAGGTTTGCACACGGGAGCAACATTTCATAACGTAATGTGATCTTCCGGGTGAGAGTAGCCCTGGGAAGGACTGTTGTCGGTAGTCAGCAACTGGCGTTTCAGTTTCGACAACCTAAACGAAAGTAATCATTAATTATTAACTTCAGACCACCCCATACCCATACCACTTTCCCCACCCTTTGTACTTGGTTTGCGGATTCATAGTCGCGCTCTGTAGCGTAATATATAAGCTACGCACCATGTCCGAATTAATTCAAGAGTTGGTAACTTCACCTAAAAAAAACTCAGCCGGAGTATTTCTATGACTATGAGTATGGTCGGGCGGAAGTTTGCTACCGAAGTTTCTACCTTAAAAGTTTGGGCTGTCACGGGCGACTTTCCTCGTTTCAAATGGTAACCAAATCTTAAGAGCTATGCATCTCCAACCGTCAAATGCAAAAGCCCCCCAAAAGAAGTCAAACGACACGTTGCCACTGGGGCAGGGCCAGTTGTCAGTGACAACAACACCATTTTAGCGCCAAATCGAAGTTGCCAAACTTCCGTCGCATTCGCAAAGAAAGGTCAGTTCTTAATTCTTCCCCACTTTAAGGGGAAAGGCGTTAGAAGAGCTTACCACTGTATCATATCACATGCCTCTTAAAAAAGTCCATACACAGACACTAATCAATAAAAGTCTCAATTTTATTAACAATATATTCCCTGATCTCTTCGTCTACAAAACAACATGTAATACAACTGAACTCGGCGTAAAAAAAGTGTTTATAGAAAAACAGCCATACAATATAAAATATAAAATATTTACAAAAATAGACTACAGTATGAAAATATATATCGCTTCATGATATTTCTTATTTTACAAAATGTCTCATTGAAATTTCTAATTCTTATCAATCATCTCCATTTGCACATCTCAGAATTATTTTCATCCTCATTATCAAATATGTGATACATCATTTAACAACTAAAATCAAAATTAAAAATCATGGTCAAATTTCCTATCTAAATATTAAGAATACTCAGCTATTGTGATAACAAAAAGAATCTCGTGACAGGGATAAACGTAATCTAAACGAATGATTGAAATGCATTAATTTAGCCGATAACTTTGCAGATTTTTGCTGGAATTTTTAGATTTTGAGCTCGATTTTCTATCACGTTTGGATCATATCTAATTATAAGTAAATTCTGGACAGGTTTGCGGTAAGTAGGAGTACGTTAAAAACAAGCTCGATTAGTGTAGCTGCCGATCAGTACTCCTTGACTTGCTGATCTCTTAAGTATGCTGAGCTTTTTTTTCTAAAATTAATAAGGTTAGCTACGGAATTTTAGGCGATTTTTTTGGGACGTTTAAACAAAAAAAAAATGGCTGTTTCAAAATAACCAATTTTAGTTTTCTTACGGAATTTCTGGTGCGAGGAAAAGTTAATCAAACAAGGCCCCGTCCACACGTATCCGGATATTTTTTAACTTTGTGCGGTAAACACCGGCGCCCATTTTGTGAGGTCATCGTATCAGAAAATATCCGGATTCGACCGTCCACACGTATCCAAAATGTTATCGGTTTCAAAAATTTCCGCTCTGGAGAGCGGATTAAAAAATATCGGGATTTGCTCGCGAATTCGCCGGATACGTGTGGACGATAGCCGTATCCGGAAAGAAAAAGTTGCGGATTCAAAAATATCCGGATACGTGTGGACGGGGCCTAAAATTGATTGAATTTATACTCGAAACTGCCATGTTCAAGCTGTGAATAATGAGCTGGCCGCGTAAATATATGCTATGGATTTCTCCTGTACATTTTTTCCACAAAAAAAAGCCTTTCCTATCATAAATGATCTCTAAATGGCTGCTTCTGTAAGAAGTGAATTGATAGAGGGAAGTATTCCTGGTTCATCTACACAATCCATCTTTTCCAACTCACAGTCGCCGTTGAACAGCTTATGGACTGTCATGTTGATGTATTCCTCATTTTCGTCCGTGTGTTCCCCGACCCCGACTCCCTCATCCAACATTCCAGACGCTTCAGAATACACCATACTACAGGCCATCAGAGGGACTTCTACGCTTGTGCTGACGTGCTCCACGTGATTCCGTGAGGCGTGTTGCGTGACTGGCATGTAGTAGCCTTGCATTACGTGTGGGTAAGGAACGTTTGCTTGATTCATCATAGCGTGATATGGCGAGGGACACGAATGACTGCTACCATTTGCAACGTACTCTTGGCTGTGATCATAACCCTAGAATGGAAAAAAAGAATCGTTTAAGAGCTCATTGAAATCCAAAACGGGAGTTACAATTTTTCTCCTGCACTCTCTCCAAGTATGATATGTGCTGTGTGCAGAATGCTTTTCTTTGGTTGACAACATTCAATTTTTATAACCGGAAGTAACACAGGATTTCAACTGCAAATATATTTTGTATCAAAATTCTTAGCAGCCAAAATGAATAAATATGATACTGTGACAAAAAACAAATTATTGTTATTTAGGCCTGTTTTCTATATAATATATGTTTTATCGGAGGAAGTGACTGCTTTTTAAGGAGAGAAAGAGGCTTTTGGGAGTATTTATGGGTATCACGAACCACAGAACTATAGGAAGAACAAAATTCGTGAAATTTCAAACAAACTGCGTTCGAGTAACCCGATAAGAGGCCAGAAAGCTATTTTCAGGTTCAGTTTACTCCCCTTAACATCTTCAAACATCATGCTTGTTTGGCTGGGAATTTTGCCACCACATTCTTCCCTAAATAGTTTTAGCTAGGTATTGAAAACTAACATAATCCAAAAGCTTCCATCGGGCCGTACTTAAAACAAATCTTAGATGAAAGTGGGGACACCACGCCTTCATTTGGCCGAACGGAGAGGTTTTACTATTTCCTTCGCCCTCAACTTACACTAGCCATGTAACAACTCTCGTTAGTCGTCGGAGCCTGGTACCGATTTGGCTCTACGAACCCACCGAGCCCACAGTTATTGAAGTGCTGCGCAACCAGGCTGTCAATTGCCTCAGATGAAGGGTTTACATCGCCACTCACGGTATACCCCCAAGGCTGCTTTTTCTCGCCCAAAGCCGTGTAGGTCACTTGTGAAAAGTTGCTGTTTCCCAGAGCATTTCTGGCTAATCCTGTCGAAACCGCTGGTGACACGGGTGGCGTGAGTACAGGCGCATGAGGCATTCCATTGTGACCAGGAAAGTAATTCTCCTTAGGTGATGGCATCATGAAGGCGGTTGACTCCAGCGGTGTGGGCGGGAAACCATTCATCGCAGGTGACATCGGTTCACTCATCATAGAGCATGCGCTCAGGCGATGAGTGGACAATTTCTTAGGCCTCAGTTTCACGCCATTTACGTGATCACGTGACTTCGTCCGTTTGTTGCGATTGGACGGACGACAAGCGTACTCAGGTTCTTCGACTTCGATCTTAGGAGGCAGTTTGCCTCCGTTGAGTACAACGCTATCAGGAACCGTGAATTTTGTTTTCGTCACAACGGTCTGTACTCGAAGAGGAGATTTTTCTTTGTCGACTCCTTCACCTAAAAAAAAAGGGAAAAAGAAAGAATGAAAAGCTTAGACCTCTTCTCTTCCTACTGCTGCGACGCTAACGTAAAACCAGGAGCCCGGTGTGGGGACTCTCCAGATCCATGTCTATTAACATGACATTACAAATAATAGTAGGCACAACCGCTCACCCATTTTGAGATGCCTGTCCAACATTTCTTGTAGTTTCTCCTCTGTTTCGTTGTAGAATTTTGTTTCGATAACAAGCAGCATGTACTCATCAAGAAGCATTCTGATGAGGTGAAATGAACCTTGAAATAATGAAGAAATGATTAATAAAGCAGACCACTGGATGGTGCATAACGGTATGAGTGTAAGGAAGAAATAAGGACGTTGGAAGAGTGTTTAAATTCTTAGTACGGAGAAGCTCATCTAGAGTCTGTCATATGAAGAACAAACAACGGACAGTAAGTGCCTGGAATGTCTGTTTTTGAGATGATTTCCTAGGTTGGGTTAATTGGGGGGTAAAGTGAAAATATATGAATGAGGCTCATCAATTTTCGTTTGCAATAAAAGTTATGTTCAATCATTTTACTGCCTTTGGAAAGGACTAGAACCGAACTAACGAGAGCTACAGGCTTTTCACACAACAAAAAGGCAAATGTGATACAGTTTTGGATAAAGATTAAAGCTAAGATTTAAGCTAAGATTTTCTAAGTTTGGCGAACTAACCGAAATGCGTGGAAGCGTTGAGCGTAAGACTGTGCATCAACCTTGCTCCCAAGAATGACCATCTCAACAGAAATTCCTGGGCTCGGCTTTTGAAGTCATCACCAGTGCCTTCGCAAGGCTGCAAAAGTATACAAAGTAAATACAATGTGGATTTATCATTACAAAATAAAAACAAACAAGAGAACAACAGCAATTGGTTTTCGAAATAATGCGATATCAGATTTGTGTTAAATTAACTGCCCTCAATTAATTTTCCGGCCAATCCTTCTGACCTCTGAAAGAAGCAGGGTTATAGCTTGCGCAGCCTCTGATATCATGTGTGAATCACGTGCGCATTTCATGCACATTACGCGCACATCATGTGTGCATGGTTATAACTTACCCGAATGATCTTTGTCTCTACCAGTCTATCTAACCATTCCACGTACGACTCCAAGGGAGCTTGTTCCCGCAGCAGTTCCACAAAATCTTGAAGAACTAAAAAAGTTAATGCAAGACAACAAAAAGAAAAGTTAAACTATCAAACGCTTTGATTTCGTGAATAGTGCTTCCAACGCGCTGAAACTAAGACAGAAGTGTTTCATTTGTTACTTACATTCGTTATCAAACCCATCCTCGCAGTCCTTTTCAGTTTTTGTGTGAACAGTTTGTCTTCCAATGTTTCCACTGTCTAACTTCTCAATGTCTTTGACCATGTGATCAACTACTTCTTGGTTTGCTAAAACGGGTCGTGCAGTCTGGAAAATAAACACAATGCAATTCTCGAACCCTTTAGATCTGATCAGTAAATTCTCCTTCTGGCTGCCAAAAAACTACCTTGTTAATCAATTGGGAGAATGTCTATTCTCGCTCGTAGATCAAGTTGCTGAATGACGTATGAAATTGTAAGAAGAAATTACATTTAAATAACCTCAGAGTTCAAGGTTTAACTTATAACCATGTAAGACTTTTTTCCGTTATTGCCACTGGCTTTAAGTTTCCCTGATGAAGATTTCCAAGATTTCAAAAGCAATCAAGACATATTCTAGTCTTAAACTACTTTAGTTTCTCTCTTTTGGCTTAATTCTCTTACCTGTGCAAGATGTAAGAAAGATGTCTGCCTTCTCAGTGACTGAACAAAACGCCTCACAGCTAAGTACAGAACAGAATAAAAGATGAAATAGGATGGTTACTTTAGGGAGAAACAAGGCGGAATAATGAGTCAGATATTAACGTTAAATGAATTTTTCCAGTCACAATCTTATCAAACCTTGAATTTTTCCCATTTTGAGATAATCCGGTAGCTCGACCGTAGCAGCTATTACCCAGGACTCCAAATGTCTCGCGAACGTCCTGATATCAGCGAGGAGACTGGAGTGAGAAATCAAATGCATTAAACAAAGTTTAATCTGTAATCAAATATGAGATTATAATTCATCCAATATAGGCACGAATGTCAGTTTACCCTTCTGGTACATCCTGCATTGTAGATGGAACCAAAACATCCATAAGAACCTGTCAAGAATCGGAATTAAAAATATATTATGTTGATGTCAATGAGGATAGTACAGTCTAAGCCTAGTGATTTTCAAGTGAACGATGATGTATACCGTATCAGTAAATTGCCCCCGGAGAATAAAAACTCCGAGTGCTCCCGGTAGGAGCAAAACCTACGACCTTCCGGAAGCTTTAAAACTGAGCAATAAGAGGCTATACTATAACTGGGTAAATGGTGACAAACTTCCTAGATACAGCTAGGATAGGAATGTCCTCTGCAAAAATGATTATTTCATTGACAATTTTCCTAAGGAAAGGCTCGAAAAGCTTTTGAATGTGAAGTTCCAATAACAAAATCGTGGTCGAGGAGTCTAAAATCTGAGTGAATTATATCAATCATTGTTTATTTCTTTCAGATGAAAGCCGTCAAAAGAACATCGCAAACCTGAAATCTGTTCTTCTGGACGAACAGACACTGCATTTAAAAGAATTGTTAATTTGAGTACCTTGTATAAAATTGAGTCACAAACACAAATCACATCAGCTACGACCTCTGTGTTCATCAGTGGTAAGAGATGGTCAGGCATTCCTTGCCAAAAGTGCAGAAGAAAATTTTTTATCTGGAATGAAACACAAGTAATATGCCATCTAGTTTAGTAGCGATAAACTATGGTGCGTTTTGTTTGAAAACGGCCTGCAGATCCACCATGGAAAGACAGTCTCACTCTCCCGCCAAGACTGACTGATCTACAAACGACACACGCAAGGAGAGGTGGGTAGAGCCTCGCTTTGTAATTGGTTGAGAAAATTCGCGCCACCGGCCTCTAAACCAGTCAGATGCCATTCAGAGTGATTGCTTATTTCGTTATACTGAGGAGTTGTTAGGAACAATGCGATTGCTGAGTGACCATTAGCATGAAACAACCTGCATTAAAACACATTATGTAACAAATCAAACCTCGTCACTTGAATCAGCTTACCTCGTCAAAATTAGCATTAATTGCGGTGTCCAATATACACTGACAGTGAGTCTTGTACATAACTACAAACGTCTCCACCTGAAAATATGTTGAAAATCTTATGTATCGTTTCAATTTGAAAATTGTTGAAATTTATTTTCAAATTAAACTCCCCTAAGTTCAACACTTGATCAAAGAGTAATTTCTCCTCACGATTTCGAAAGAAGATTTGGTAAACAGGGAAGCGAAAATGAAAAAAAATGGTGTTACCATGGAGGAACGCCAAATTTGTTTGAATGAACCACGAAGAAATAAAAAGTTGTTGGAGTGGAGAATTTCGCATTACATTCCGGTAGTTACCAGAAAATCTATGTTTGCTGAACCATGGCTACTACAAAGGTAGCCTGCTTGCAGAGGGTAGTTGGCGTTTTCAGGCTCGAAATTCAGCGCGGCGAATATTCGGTCGCCACATTGGACGGGTAGAAGATTTGTCACTCGCTTTTTCATTCGTCCTAAATCTTCCACGTGTCCAAGATGGCGACCGAATATTCGCCGCAATGAATCTTGGGCTTGAAAACACAAACTAGCGCCTGCAAGCAAGAAAAAGAAAACATGTTTCTAATTGGCTGTACATGTCGCGCACTGGACATTTTAGGGCCGTTTTCCTTAAACCTTTTTTAAAAACAGATCAAAGAGGGATTTCAATAAGAGCTGGTTACGTCGATTGACCGCTGCCTGTTTAGCTTGCGGGAAGCGTCACGTGTTTGTGTTTCGCTTAAAACTGAGCACAGCCGCTTATGGATAAAGTTGTTGAAATCACTGAATCAAGTGGAGGTTTTTCTGATTAACAAATGGCGAACACCACAGCGTAAGCCGAGTCGCGCGAGGCGATAGCCGAGAGCGACTCTAGCTTCTTGGCAAACTTCCCATGGGCAAGTGCATCCATAACTCAAGAGTGTACGCTGTGGTGTTCATCATTTGTTTTATAACATAACATTGACACATTGTAACAAGTGTTCCCATTTATTCAACAAATCTTACGTGACCAGAAAAAAACGTGCGCACGGAAACTAGTCTTTGCATTTGCTCACGTAAGCAGCGTACACCAATGGGCAAATGGGGGGGGGGCACTGAACTGACCAATCAGAACGTGCTCTTTACTTTAGTAATTTTATAGTGTAACATGGATATAATACTCAGAAGCAGAAAATTCAAATAGATAATTGCTGTTCCCTGTGGTGTATACTCCTTACCTTTTCTAATGATATTTTCTCCGGTAACTCCAGAAGTCTCGGATTTGGGAAATCTGGCAATAGTGTTCCAGTTTTGGAGCTGAGTGAGTATTTTCGCACAGAAAATGAACCCTGTAAACAAAGAAAGAAGACTTAATTATAGCACAGAGTGCATTAATGGTGAATTAAGGTAATTAAAAAAAATATGTAAGTCGCTTTATTAGAACTGTGGCAAATAGTGTAGTGGACAAAAACATTTAAATCTTGCTCTGAAGAAAATTGCTTGTATGAATAAATTTTACGAAAAGCATATCTCATAAAGAAATCTTTTTGTTTTTGGCCATAAACAGATCTTTACCTCATTCTTGACTTTTGATCCAGAAAATCTGTTTGGAGTAGGAAGATTGATGAAGATATTAGATTCAACTGAGCTTTTAGTAAGGCAGACGTTTAGATATATACAGTTCTGAATCACTTTTTTTATAGTCAGTGAAAAGAAAAGCTTTGCTAGCGGCTTGTGCCAGGCTCTCATTCGGAAAACGAGAAAAAGTCGGAAGTTTGGGAACGAACGCTCTTTCCGTTGCCGTTTCCTCAAACAACCACTCAGCCTCGCTCTCCCGCATGTCTCTTCTGATCGCGGGAGCGGAATTGACTCAAGCCCGGCCGCACTTCATACCAGAGTTAACTCTGTTCATACATATCAGTTGTTTAGAGTTTCTTTGTTGTGATTTGAGGTGAAGCGAGTCTTCGAACATGACTCGCCGTTCAATCACTCCTGTTCTTATGTTTTGCCCAATTACAAAGGAAGCATTGGGAGAGAAACACCCCTTTTAATGTAAAGACAATGAGTTCAGCAGACTGGAAACAGACCACACACCAAGAATAACTTCTGTAAAATACTCAAAGGTCCTCAAAGGGGCGTCTCGTTTACATGGATTTTTGACAAAACAAATTCGTTTGGATAAAAGTGCCCAAATTGATGATCAAGTTTGCGAGTGAATCATGAAGATCGAAAACAGCTGGTCTGTTTTAATGAAGAGTTAAAAAAGCTTTAAAATCATAAACTTAAGACTTGACCTCTCGGCTTAAGAAAGATTATGGGCTAAAAGGTGTTTTGATCTCAGCTGGTTATCACTTAAAAGCACTCCTACGCACGAATTTGTCAACTCCTTTTTACATACAAGTATATAGCAGGGGTTTCAATTTAATTTTTTCCAATCCATAAGCGGCTGCCGATGTTGGTGTGTTGAGCGGCTGTGTCGTAAGGCGAAAACCAAACACGCGAAGCTACGAAGGTAAACACACGGGGGAGAGGTCTAACAGGCTGCGGTGGACTGCCAATAAACAGGTTTTAGTTGAAACCACTGATAAAGATTTTAAAATTGAAATACACGTACATGTTCGCTTTTGTGTTCTCTTGGAGAAACATATTTTTTTATTCTTAAGCGATTCATTTTGATATCCCTCCAGGGTTAAAATTAATGCTGTATTGTTCGTTTAAAATAACTGACTTTGTGTCTAGCATCCTTAATTTAAAAGGTGTCAAATGATTAAGTGACCTTGAAGTAAATGGAACAACTTAATTTTTAGAGATGAACTTAAATTTTATATTTAGGAAAGATTCCAACACCCAACGTCTGCGAATAGATAGACTTGCATTGTAAGTCTGCAGATTTATGTGTATATTTTTACGGTGGAATTTTTCTACTGTGTTTAAAGTTTACACTGCTTTACATTACCAAACTTCCGTTTTTCATCCCGACGAGTTTTGAATAAGAAAGACCCGGCATTTCTATTGTCTTTTCAATAAACAAACCCCATTATTTTACAGAAACTCATTTAATTACACAGCTCAAAACAAGCAGTGAGATAGCGCTTGTTATTTCATGACGAGAAGTCAATACGTAGAATTATTTTCCTCACCTCGTTAAACCTTTGCCTGAGTAAACCGAGTGATAATAGGCAGAGGATTCTTTGATACCTATTCCGTAGTAGTGATACCTGAAAAAAGATGGCAATGGATTATTGTTAAGTGCTCTTAATTTTAAATAAACGAAATCTTGGAAATTATGAGCGATTCAAATAAAAAATTGGTTCAGTCAATGTCACTATACTTTGAATGGCCGCGGGTTCCGAGCCGTCTTGTGGTAAGTTGAGGAAACTTCAGTCGTATCGTCTGGAAATAAGGACAAAGAGCTTAACATTACAAGTGCTTGGTTTTTACTGTCAAAAACGTTCGAGATCTAAACCCAGAAAATCAACTAGTCCTTAAGGAAGACACTCTCGTGCTTGTTGTCTTACGGGATCAATTTTGTTCAGGAATGAATTTTCCCTTAATTGGAACATTTATCGAGAAACGAACTCAGAGCACCCAAGTGAATTCGATCATTCTTATCGAAACGATATCCTTTATTGCTAAGCATTATCTTCTAGAAAGTTTCAAATAAATCAATCAAAATCAATTTCGCTTCAAAAATATACGAGGACTTCGACCTTCATGTAAAGGAATAGAACCAGCAAAGGCAAACCTTCCCCTGGTGAAATTTTTCATGTATTCATTTCAGAGTTATGAACTTAGGTCAAAAGAAGCAAATCATTCACTACCACTTCTTGGTCTTTCCATGCAACCAGCGTAAAACGGCAGGAAAAGTCGGCGACTGGCAACATGGTTATTTTCATTCGGTAGACGTGATTGGCCGAGCTCACAGGTAAAATGTGCATGTTTGTGATTGGTCGAGAGAGATGTACTCTTTTTGCTGGCCGTGGTGTACCATTCAAATGTGCAAATGTGCCTTCACCGAAAAAAGTCACCGAAATAGCCAGTATAGGTAAAAAAAAAGCCAACATTGTGATTAAAAAACAAATAAAAATTACCTTTCCAAACGTTGCAGCGCATGCTGCATCGACACTGTGCCTTCGACAGAAGTCCAGATAATGAGCATACAGAATGCAGCGGGGAAGACAGACACCTTCACACATTACATAGTTTTCTTCAAGCCTATGAAAAAAGTAAAAATATATTACAGTTATTTTAAAAAATTTTCCAATTCATGCAATTTACCGGTCCATGCTTGACTGTAACGAGAGAATTTTGCTCTTTTCGAAGCAGTGATATTTGCCTTGTAAAGATCAAAGAGTTACTCGTTTATCAGTTCTTCATTCAATCAAAAGGCGAATTAACGTGGTGTTGTAATTCAGGTTTCGTTTTCAAAATTCTCCGGGAAGTCATCGGAAAAAGCTTCAACTCACTAACCATTGAAATGTATAGTGGGTCCCAATTGCTTTACAACCGAAGAAGAGCAAACTGCCCCAGTGATATGTGTTAGATGGGCTTGCCGGAAAATAATGAAAACCGACTTGAGGTAACATTCTACGATTAGTACTACAGTGTTCCTCTGACTCTGTTGTGGAACTTCTCTATTTAGCGATTTAGTGGACTTATCGGGGAGGTCTTTCATTTCGCAGTTCTTTTAATTCTATGATCCTCCAATTTTCCAATTTAGTGGTGCAACAATGTTACTTAATGACTTCTCTATTGTCCTAGCAATAAACTGCGCTACATCATCTTACAATACTTAAGTTCGTGTCGGCACATGGTTTTAGAGTCGATAAAATCGATTTATTAGAAAATCAGACGAACTGCATTTCCAACTGTAATTGTAATTTATTATTCTCCTATTCAACTTTTTTGCAACCGTGGGCGTTGCTCTGCATAAATAATTAGGGCGCTGCCTACTGGTTTGAGATTCAGCAAAGTATCTTGGATATGGTGTCGAACGAAACTTTGACATTGCTTGTGCCTTCAGCTATGAATGCACCCAGTAAATCTTTACCCGTTTGACGAGATTGCTACATACTTTGGGAACATCATTGCGTGACGATTACCACACCCATTGACGGATGCGGGAAACGAATAGACTTCACACAATGTTCTTATCAAAGCTTCGGGCTCTACGTTAGACTGTGTTCTCTGCGAAATATAATTAGTTGTATCAGCTTTCGAAGGGTGTTGAAGGGCTTACCCGGAATATTTTTATACCCTAAGCTCTGTTTTTCAGGACAATTCAAGTCCATCTGTGTATTTCCCCCGGTGAGTCATTGTTTACGTTTTACTCAATGTTTGATATTTTTGTTGGCATTAGCACCGAGCGAGGCAGCATTCTTTCAATCTTTTATTCGAACAACAAACATTGAGGACGTTAAATGTCTCAGTCATTATTTATTTACAAGATGGAGTCCAATCGACCTTTACACCAAAATCTTTTGGTGGAAAAGTCGCAGAAGGAATTCGATAAAAACAGCTATCGAGAAAATGTTAAGATTAATCTCTTGTTTTCGATGTCAGTAATAAGATGAAACGGAGAAAACGAAACAAAAGCGTAATTCCTTTGACTTTTGACCAAACTGCAAGATAGTTTTGAGTATCAAGGTTACTGCAAACCTTCTAGAATCAAGCTAAATATAAGTGTGTTTCTGACCTTTAACGAAAAACAATGTAATCTCGTATTTGTTATTTGATGCGAACAGAATTTTCGAGTCTATTATTGCAATTATTTCGTTCTTCATAAGTACGTCCTAGGGATAAAAACGTGGAACCCTTTTCAGGAAATCGTTTTCTCTTGTTAGAAACTTATGGCGTCATGATATTCACCGCAGTCCACGGGTAAGTAACCGCATTTTTCTTCAAGAAAAAAGTTTCTTAACCCGATTGCGGCGGAGAAAAAGAAACGTGCCTTTGGAGAAATATTTTCGAGCACCCCTGTCATTTCCTCAAAAACGGAAAGAGACATCTGTTTTGGATCTCTTATGGTTTCCTAATTTGCGGCCGAATCTCCACATCGCGACGTTATTTTGTTTCCAAACGTCTAAAGAAACCTCGATTTACATTTGAAGTGTTCGAATTAAAACCCGCTGGCCTCCAAGGGTTCGAGAATTTGTTTTCCGGTCTTTTGTGACCACGACGCTATAAACAAATTAATTGAATCGAGTTCAACCGCAAGATTTTAACGCATAGCACGTCAGCTTAAAGAGGGAAGGAATTTCTTTCCCGTCGTAAACAAACTTTCTATCCTATAAGTTACCTTACCCTTAGAACGAACCTGTCACGTACATAGCAGAATTTGAAAATGCCATAACTATTTCACTTAAAATCAACAGGTGGTAACTTGTAAATTGCTCCTGTCATCAGATACTCTCGCTAAACTTTAAAACCTTACTGAAAAATTTTCTTACAACGACAGCCAATACACCGTATAAGATTAAGTCAAAAAATTCTGGACGTATTCTGGAATGTAATGAATGCACTTCCCTAACAGTGGTAAAAACATCGAGTGAAATCTTGCTGTAAGAGTCCTGTAAGGGTCCGAAACTCCCAACTTGAAAATCCATTGAAACGCATTTAGAAACACGAGCTCGTTAATTGTGTTTTCTTTAACAGAAATTTACTAAAAGCATTTTAACCAAAGCAAGTGTCTTTACTTTTGATCAAGTCTTCCGGATGGCGCAATTCCGTAAAATAATTCACGTATTTTCTGGCTGGGTGACATGGGCTAATATCAAGTCCAAGAGTAGTGTGCGTCAACGCTTTTGTGTACCATAATGAACGTCAATCGATGAAAGGTTTAGGCGCACTGTGAAAGACTTGTTTACTTATAGACTTACAAGCTGTTAACCGAAAAGAAATATTCATTTATTTTACGCCTGACAGAGTTGACTTAAGCTGACAGCTACGAACCTCCAAAGACCAAAATAGAACTTTCAAGGGTATCTATGATAGCAACACAGTTAATTAACAGCTGAGACATACTCCCTATCTAAATACGTTCAGAATATTTTGCTGACGGTTTTTTTTTTTTTTTTTTTTACTAATACGACGTATCAAATAGAAAAATATTCTATGTAATAGTAAAATATTCTATGTAATAGTAAAATATTCTATGTAATAGAAAGATATTCTATGTAGTGTTGTTTGAAGGTCACGCTGTTACTTCAACTAAATTAACTAGTAATGTGGCTTTTCAATTTATTCTTCCGCCGAATTTCCGGACGTCGTTAAACACGTGTGAAGATTCTTAAGATTTTGCAGAAAGTACATTTAGCATATCAGCACAGATAGCGAGCCAGTTCGCATACACCGCTGCAGGAATTCCTTTAAAATGTGAAATCAGTGTTGTGGAAAAAAACATCATCTCTAACATGCAAATAGAATGAAGACATTGTGTTTACAGTAGAAACTCCACGGTAAAAAAGTGAGTTCATCTAATGGATGACATAACTTCTATTAACTTTTCACTAAAACCTTGTTAATAATAGCGAATGGATCTACTGAGACATTTTGATGATACACTTGGTTTTCATTTAAAATTATTTTCGAATTTTCCTTTGCGAAAAGAGTTTCCTAAGTTTAGTATCAACGTCGTAGTTTGTACGATGTGCAAACTTCTCTTGAAGTGCTTTGCAGTTTTCATTCAAAATTAAAATTTTTTTGCACCTTTATTCCATAAAATCAAACGTTTCCGTTTGAAGAGAAAGCAGAGCCGAACTGATTGTTAATAACTGAAAGAATTAAAGAAGTGTTAGAAGCGTGAAACGATGACACCTTCACAGGAAACCATAAACTCACTACAAAGATTAAATCTTACCAAAGCAGTGTTTCCGTTAGTTGTTCTTTCTTCGTTTTCGGAACTCTTGCCTTGCTATCTTTCATTATCGACTCAGTGCCTGTAAAAAAGAAAAACTGAGCTGACAATGGGACAGGAAACCGGCAAATTTGTTTCTATCAACAGGCTTGTAACTTTATGAACGTTTGTTTATCAGCGCAGCCCTCTTGGCGGGTTAGTTCACCCCTGATAATTTGCCTCAATTTTTAATCTGATATATACGTGAGTGATAGTATACTTATAGCTGATTCATGGCCACGAAATAGCCCCATAAGCAGCTTCAATATTAATTCGAGACAATGCCAAGTCATTTGTCGTGAAGCCCTTCAATTCACTGACAGTTAATCCGCTGCACTCAAGTTCAAAATAGCGCTCTGAAGTTCATGCACATAAGACTTTTTTATTTTTACGCGCCGCGCTCAATGCTATGATTTCTAGACATCACTTTTTTTTAAACGATTGTGCCTTTTATTCGCTTGCCTGACCCGAAACTGTTGCGACAAAACTAGACGGGAACATTTTCAAAACATTACAGTGCCACTCGCGTTAAAGCGCAGTCAGGCAAGCAACTCGCTCGCTCAGAACATTTCGTGCGAGGGAATTTCAATCAGCGAAATCTAACTCTCTGAAGGGTAATTATACAGACAATAGCTAGGATTAATTTTGATTCTAAGAGCTCTTATGGAGCGTAAAACTTTTAAATAACTAATGGCGGTCATTCGGCCATGGTAGCTTATGGAGATTACACCTTATGTTTATAACAAGCTTTCGAGAAAATATTCACCCTGAATGAAATACAACGTGTACTGCCTTCGGCAAAAAGTGACGTAATTCTACAGAAGCTGGACTATATTTCTTTACGTCAGCAAAAAGAGAAAATTATCATTGATCGCTCCCCTATAAAAATGAATTGTTCCACTTTAAAAAAGAAGTAACGGCTTTCTCATAAACTGGTAGATGCTTACGGAAATATTGCCAGAAAAAAACGCACGGATTTGTTGTGACCGGGGTTGACATCACCTTTGTTGCATGCTATTGAGGTATATTAAGCGGAGACAAAGGGTAATAATTATATTTTTGTGATATCAAAATACTGATGTACTTTTACATACCTTCGGTCTGGTCCTCGAATTGCTCGTGTAACTTCTTGCTGTTCGGAGGTTTTTTAGTTTTATGTTTACATCTTTTCAGTCGCGGGACAAATTCCTTCTTTTCAAAATCACTAAGGTCGATTTTGCTGCTTGACTGATCAGATACACGACTTCTATTCCTCGTGCTGGGCATCACGAGTTTGTATTCGCTTTGGTTTGTAAACTGTAAAATACAACCCGTGCGGTCAGCTATATACCTCCCGTTGCGTTTAAAAACGAAGAACCAGCTACTTATAAAATTAGAACCACCAACTTTTCGATCACTTTGAAACACAGAGAGCGTTAGTTCGTGCAAAAGATTGGTGAATGTGAATGTCTGCGGCGGATTATTTGAGCAAAAGCATCTGCAGTCATCAACTGAGGTGCATAATTAAAGTGAAGTCCGCAATCAAAGACAAAAGACTTGTTATTGCCATTTGACGGTTCCTGAAATCATTCATGAATTATTAATGCACAACAGGCGCGAGCGAGTGATGTTGTTACGTCATTTATTGCCTCGACCCACGCATGTGGATCTTAATTAAGTAATTATCAGTGTTTCTTTCTCTCGTGCCTGTCTGACCAATCACGGCACGGCTACTAATTGAACTCTTGCCACCTTACACAAAAGGATTTTTGGTGACCATGGCAACTGCCGCCAAAACAAAGAAACTCGAAAAGCTTTACGCTTTGAGTTTGATCTGACTGTAAACAAAGGTTATGGCGTTTGAATGTTGCCTTTTGTATAACCATCGGCTTTGCGATGAAAGCGATTGTGCAACGGATTTCTTGTATTGTACCGATGTGGCTAACAAATAACTCAAGAGCATAATTAAAACGAGTATTTTCTTCTATCGTTTGTAGAGCAAAATTTGAGAAGACATTGCAACAGCCAGACTTAGGAAGCAATTTGCTAGAAAATCTGTCATTGTTGTAATCTATCGCCTAGAGTGCCACTTGATTCAAACATTTTGCCATAATATCGTTTTAATCCTCCTTAAGCCGTTTTGTACTTTCCTGCAGTTTCATTGTAGTTTGGTTTGTCATTGGCGAGACAATTTTGGTTTGTACTAGATCAAAAGATTTCCTCCACTGGTTGTTTATAACGGGAAATGTTCGATAACCACATCCCTTCCATTGTGCGGTAAAAAATGCAGAGTGGAAGAACGTGACACACGACTCAACTATACGCGTCACCTTCCCGCCGTTTGACGCACACGGCCGCGGATACCATGGCGCGAATCAAACATCATTCACTTGCGTCCATAAAATTACAAAAGCAGCATACCGCATGCACAGATTTTTGTTTGCTTAATGCGTAGTTTTTCATATTTTTTGGAAGAATATTCATTATAGGTGCATTTTCTTCGAGCACAAAGACTTTTGCTGCGAGTTCCAAATACACTATGAATCAAATCTTTATAAGATTGAACAAGTTTGGGGGTTTACAATGCTGATTGCAAAACCCCACCTATGATGACGAGACAACTTAAATTTTAAAGTAACAATCTAGCTGATCATGTTAAAAAAGCAGTATCATATCAACTGAAATAGGAAGGAGTTTATACAAATCGAAAAATAAATATTATATACATGAAGTGTAAAGTCGAGCTAAGAGATTAACCAATGGCTTTTGGGCCAGGTAAGTTGACATAAACTTTCTTTGTAACTAAGCAAATTGTCGACAATAATTTTGTGTGCAGCGTTTTTGATTTGTTACAAATGAATAAAATCGTTCCAAATCATATGTAGGTCGTTTTCTCCTCGAATATTAAAAATTCGGTCTGTTTTTCGAGAATTTGAAACAGAGAAATAGCCTTGGAATTATTATAAATTTGTGTTTGAAGCAAGATGAAGAACAAAAGGACAAAAGTAAATAATCTACCTCAAATCCATTTGCAACAAAAAATAATAGTAATGAAGAAAGACTTCATACCATGCACACCTACAAATGGAAATTTTCTATGGACGTGCTTTTCGTCAAATAGTTTAGTTTAAACAAATATCTTGACTCACACGTTGATCCACTTCAAGTGACAAGTTAAATTATGCTGATTTAAACTGTTTCAGCCAATGTGAGTGGAACAGCGAAAATTGAGCTTTGAAAGTTTAGGTAAGATTTTGCTCCAATGTTATTACGAAGCTTTCAAGAAATCTCCACCCGCAGTGAATGAACCCTAATCAAATGCATGCAAAGTTTACGTTCCAGTCACTCCCAAAGATCCTGACATATTCACAGTTCTACCCAACTTAACTTAAAATTCGTGAGAGAAGGGCCGACTCGTTCAAATTAGATTTAGGCCGTATTGCCCTATCACTTGATAAATACTAACCTTTCTGGTTAATTTCCTTCTGTCTCTGATCAGCTACAAAATTCTATGGTTTGTCAAGGCTAGTAAAGGACAACAAGATTTTTCTTCAAATATAAACCATGAACATTAAGGTTCATGGTTTACTGAGTTGTTTCATGGTTTACTGAATTGTGGAAAGAGTGGAGGTCGAACGTGACGGTATGCCAAAATTGGGATGTAATTTCCACGAAAAAAATAAACAAACCATAACAGAAACACAACAGAGAGTGTAAGAGCAACCATGACTAAAGAATTAAAAACCTGAGCAAAGCGTTTTTTTTAAAAGAGCAGAAATATTTTCTTCTTGAAGCGAACAGCATTAAAATTCAAACCTTGCTGCTTTGCACGCAGCTTTGGAGCTTCAGTAACATTTTTGACAAAATCAAATGATTAAGGAGAAAAACATAACTACAGAGAGTTTCTAGGAAAGAAAGTGATGCCATTTATTCAAGAAATTTTCAAGCGTGATGGTCTCTTATTTCGAGGGTTAAAAGTTTAAATAGGACGTGACGGACTTGAAGTGTATGCTGTACCACCATGATTTGTTTCACACAGACCAACTCGATATTCGGTGACATTTCAAGCATACCGTTTACTCTTTAAAATTCAGTTTTCTTCATCAGTAGGAATTCTCACTACTAAAGTACGAAAAACTGAAAACAAAGAGTAAGAAAAACTGTGCCGGAGAGAGAGATTTCTCATGCAACTGATCTAGATTATGAAGTGGTCGAAATGATTAATTAAGACTTTTAGTGTTCCTAATTATCTGCATCAGAATTGAGTTTAATTAACTGCAGGAAAATTGATCCAAGAAAATGGAGGGTGGTCGAAACTGAAATTAGCTGAAGGCTGAGGCGAACTGAAAAATAAACTGGAAACTTGCTGAGGAATACAAATTTACGTGGAGCGTTTTTATTCTTTCCAGCATAAATCAAATAGCGAAAATTAGTTTCTGAATCAGGCACTACTCAGGACCGTTAAGCACTTTTTTCAAGGAGACACATCATAAAATGCAGATAATTATTTAAAGAAAATTATGTGAAATGAACGTGGGAAACTTAACAGTCAAACTTAAGAAAACTGTCAATTACAGATCTTATCACCTTTCCCATCCAATTCCTCACATCTGAGAAGTAATTCTCCCTCCAAACTGCCATAAATTTTGTCGCAAATAAAATAGGAGATTTTACTATCACAACAAGAACAAACTCATTTGAACCTCTGTCTTCAAAGCTTTTTCTCTAAAAAATGGATTAATTTTGTTAGAGAGATCTCAGAGCATTTCAATCAGTGCTAGCACGGCACTATAGAAAGTGATGTTGTGGGCATAGAAATTTCCAAGCGATGAAATTTTATATATTGTTAGGACAAATTGAGGATTTCTGGCAACAATAATTTGGGTTAATATTTTTTGCTATTATAGATAAATACTCCAGAATGCTTGCCTGTTGATAACTTGTCTGTTTTGTTAGAGCTAAGGGCAAAGGTGAAACGGTTTATGGAAACAAAAACATGGTACACTCTAGGACAGCACGATTTGCACAAATGTAGTTTAGATGAGGTTTTATCAGATTTAAATTCTCTTCTTGAATTAGTTTGCTTCAGGTGAGCCCTGAGCAAAAAGGGAAAGTTTATGACAGTTAGCTAAGTTCTGCTGAGCAACCTTTCATCAATTTCGTTTTAAATGGAATCGTTCATCAAGCGTAAAAGGGCTCTCATTCGGCGAACAAAGCCATGAATTAATACCTGCATGATAACTCGTTTTATAGACGGAACGAAAACTGAAATTAAATCAGGTACAAGAAAATTCCAAATGTACACTTACATACCTCGACTTTGTTACCTGTTCTCTCACATCAGCCGAATACATTCATGATGTAACATCATGTCGGCTGAGAACCAAAACTTATGTTACCTAGAAAACAACTTGGTTACACGGCATTTCAACTGACCATAGCAATGTTCTAAATTAGCTCACCTTTTCGTAAATTTCTCTCCGTAAACGATGCAAATTCAGCTTCCGAAAGCAGTATTTTCCCACAACTGTCGCCAGTGCAGTGAGGACAACTTTTACGGGTTAAAAAAACATTTATCCAGCGTCCTGCAGATTCCCAATGCTCTGACAGGTGTAATTTTTGTAAACTGTTATTCTGTTTACTAGGAAAGGAAAAGTTCTCTCGCCTTTTTTAAACATGCAGGAGGTATTCAAGAAGCACGGCCGGAGAGCAATAGGTCTGAAAATTTATAGTACAGCGCACGTGATGTCGATGAAACGGTTATTCAAGCCTTATTTACAGAAAGCTAACAAAGTGACAAAGAAAATAGACCAAAACGATAAGCTAAGGACTGTTTGATTACCATCCAATTCCCACTAATGTTTCAATCAAAAGTCATGAAAGATTTCTCAAGATTACAAAGAACCCTCGCCTTACACCGGCTCGACATTTTTTTCGCAAGTGGCGAACACTGAAATACTTAGTTCAATTTTGACCTCTCCTCCTACTTGGAAGGCTTCAAATAATTTAAAAAAATATTCACGTTTGAATTACTATATAAAACCAGATGTAATTGACAGCAAGGCTCTGAAGTGTTACGCAAAGTGTATCGACATGAGAAAAGCTGAATAACACGATTTCGAACGAAATTTCTTACTGTAAGAACCATCGAAGTGTAGCATTCTTTCGCTGAGTTTTATACAACGACTTCACCAGCAGACTATTAGAGCTACTGTTAAGTTACCTAGAACAAATTATTTATTCTAGACTGAAAGTTGTCGTAAGAGAAAACATTAAATGTTTACGTAGTGCGAACCTTCTGGGAATCATGTTGTCTAAACCTTCGGCTTAAATTCCTTTGTTCGGTCCCTTCAACAAGATTTTTAGTTTCACCGGAAGTATAACTGTGCTATTACAGTAATTTCTGAACTCTCCACACTAGGCTAAATTAGTTTATAACTAAGAAGCTTTTCTATACTCAAGTGACTTATTTCAGAAATCTCAATTATACAATTCATTACAATTACTTAAAAAAAAAGAAAGAGATTAAGAAAATATTTTTATCCTCAAGAATGTATTACTTGACTTTTAACACAATAGATGATTACCTGAAGAACGAGTCTATTTTGAAGTGTTTTTCGCAGTGTTGAAGAGGGGAGGGTACTGAAAGGGGATCCTAAGGGCTGATACCATCACTTTTGCGCTAAAAAAGTAATGATCCAGACACCTAAAATTCTCTCACCTTCCCTTGAAGAAATTTTTTTTCCCATCAATATCACACCCTGATAAATAATAATAATAATAATAATAATAATAATAATAATAATAATAAAAAGACAAAGAGAGATACATTACAGAGCTCTTTTTCTCAGGTGGACCATGCATTTTCATGCCTAATGGCAGGTCATGATCAAAGCGATAGCAATACCTTGAAAACTATCTAAACCGGCTACGTTTGTTCCTAGAATCCTGAATCTTTCTTCTCTATGTGCGTTGTAATGCTTGTTAACAGTGACTCAGCGATATTACGTTCCGCCGGCACTTGCCTTTTTTTTTAAGACATGCACTTTTATGAAAAGCGACTAATGATCACTTACAGCTGTCTGGAACCTTAATTGTGTAGAAAAAAGAAAAGGCAACACGAAATAAATCTTAAATGCCTAAGTCTACATATTCCAATTGCAGATGGAGGAAGCATTTTCTAACGAGTTTCAGTTGCCTGCTCTCTGACAGCTTCGAATTCATCTCAAGTTATCTTAAACTTGCCTTGATTACCTACCAATTTATATCCACTTCACTTCACATCAATGCTCATGTTTAACCCCGCAAGTATCAAGCACTGGACCGAAACCCAAGTATTTGGTAAATTAATGAACCAATATTTCAAATGACTTGGTTTTATTAAGAATTGCGTATGTTTCATTGCCTCCGAGAAAACTACGGGCACAAAATGAAAAAAAAAAAACCAAATCTGGCCTTTTTTCTTTGAACCTGATGTGTCATATATGAGGAATCAGCAGCTGTCGCAAAACAAAATCACTTTACGGACTGAAGTTCCCTCGCTCAATCTACTTTGCTTACTACTGACAATAGCCTTGAATTTCAATCATTTACCGATGATATATATACCGATAGCAATTTAGACTGATCTGCAACTCTGAAACCTCACTGAAAATACCAAGGTACGATCTCTAAACGCGCACAAGAAACACCTTTAGACTATCTTTTCCTCTGCATTGACAACACTTATACTGTTTGAACTTAAAATAAGAGTTTGTCTTAATTCCGCATTAGAAAAAAAAATACACAAAAAATGCACTGTAACGTGATAGATGCATTCGTCAGTTTACCATAAACATGCCTTCCTGCCTTGTTTGAACCAATATACTGGTTTTTGTTTGTATGTTTTTTTTTTCTTTTTACGCATGTGATGTCTCTTAAGCTGCTTGGTTAATTAAATGGAAACCCTTGAGGGCATTATCACTAAATTACAGACATAGCACATCTTTTAACCAAATTACTGCTGGACTGGCTAATGAAGTAAACGATGACAATATCATAGTCTGATAATTGACTTCCTCACTTCTTCTATACCTAAGCCATCGAAATCAGGATTCTATACCTAAGCCATCGAAATCATAATGCAGATAAACACGCTAAGTTTTTGCCCTGATGTTGTATGCGCCGTGAGCGTGGCTATGGTGAGCTTTTCGCTTAACCTGTCTCTTACGGGCTTGTATCTACTCACACTTACCTGAACCTGGCATCTATTATAAACGATAGCCTCTATCTGGCGTGAAAATATGCACGATGTGTACACGGTTGTCTGCCTTTACTACATTTTCGTCCCCAGAGCCATTCGGTTTCACTTAACGATGGCTCTGGGACCGAGAATTGCGCTCAGGGCTCAGACAGCCAGCGAATTGTAATGACGCGCATGCGTAAATCGTAGCACGCGTGTGACGAATTCTCGCTATAAAAGTGCTTGTTTCTGATTGTCAGCCGTAACGATGAGCAAAAACAAGAGCCTGGGGACAAGAATTCGGGCAACGTTCCTGCATCACTCCTCACTGGTTGCCTACTGATCTGTAAATCCTGCAGTACCTTTTCAAATTTCAAAGCTTTTTTTTTTTTATTATATTTTTACCGTACCTTTGTTAATGTGAAGGAACAGTCACTGTTTTTCGTGTGGGGTGGGGAGGAGCAGAAGATTTTTCTCGGAGGGTCACATGGTTTTCAAGGGCAACAGGGAGGGGACTGCCAATGAATGGATCATAAGATGGACCATATTATGGGGGAACTGTGGAATTTTATCTTGGAAAAACCAAATCCTCACCCCCTCCCCCTTCGTCAGACGATAGCTAATGACCTGTCCCTTGATTCATTTCATATCATTATATCCACATTAGAAGTTTTGCTGATAAATAAGCTGGAGTCATTCGTTGTAAGAACCTAAAGCCGAAATGTCGTAATTCCTTACAGTTCTCATTCACCCTGTATTTTACCCTCAACTGAGCTTCTAAATGAAACTGGTTGGGGTTAAAAAAGAAGCAGATCGCGGAAGATTTCTCCCACCTCAAGTCCACGTTCGGTCTAAGTTTGTCACTTTGTTATAACCCTATTAAAAGTGAACTGGAAAGAATGCTTAACACTGAAATATACTTAACAATTAGAGCCTCTTGTTTTTATTCACAGTTTGCTGATGAGATTAATTTACTACAGCAGATAATTAAATTGTACTCTTCTTCATTTATAGCTATTGCATTCATCAAATAATCAATTCGTTTGGCAGCACTTTCCACAAACTGATATCGCCTTCAAGACATCCGCTTTTTTGTCCCCATCCTCTGAAATTGTCTAGACCAAAGAACTGAAGTTTAATGTTACTTATCCCTAATCAGGTGGCTGCTCCGCAATCATAGCATTTTTCTCAGAATCCTTGCGATAAAGATATTTTTTTTCTCAGTCAGGAGCCCATGACTTGGAACGTTCAACTACCCGTTGTTTATGTCACGGTATTGTCAGAGACAAATCTATTTTTAGTTTGAATTTACCGCGAAATGAGATTCCCCACGGAAGCCCTTCGACTAATCACGATCAGCGCGTGGTTAATTTATAGCTTGACTCATTATTACAACGAAAGCATGTGAGCTCGAGTAGTCTCAGGCTATTTCCCGGAATAAGATAGTCTAAAAAAACTCCGTTTGTAAAAATACCGCGACATTGGCACAGTATGGGAGTTGAACGCTCCAAGTAATGGGCTCCTGTCCGAGTCGAATTATATTCAACACACACCACACACCACACACCACACACCACAAAACTCCATACAAAGCCCCGAAGATGGATAAGGAAGTAAGAAAGCTAGAGTTTTATAGTTTTGCTTGAGCGGGTAAACTTTCCCCTGCTAGTCCGGCCAAGAGATTTCTCGCTGCTAAAGTTGCCATAGCTTCTCTAGTGGATTCCTCTGCACTGCCAATATGGGGAAGGACAACTGGAAAAAACAGGAGAAAGGGCAAAAATATGAATTAACTTGCTTACATCGCTCATAATCCCCGCTGCATTCATAGATTTCAAGCGTTCCTTTGGGCATGTTGGAGGGGGGCTTCCCACTAGTGCTGGTGTCTTATGAAGGCGGGTTAGCGTTACAAACTCGCGACCGTTTATTCCATCAGCCATGTTTGATTTAGAGTTAGAGTGGAAGGTGTGGGGTGGGGGGGGGGAAAGGCGAGAAGACGGCGTGATTTCTATTGCCCCACCCCTTCTCCTCTCCAATTCTTTTTCCCGTCGCAAATCCCTTTGATACAAATTTCTTTCTCTGCCCAGCCTTCCGCTGGCGTAAAAAAAAAAAAAAAAAAAGAAAAAAAAATGAAGCCAGCTCTAATTTAAACCAAGAAAACACTGAACATTTGCTCGCTAAAATTAGGCCTGCTCTGAGGGATATATTTTCAGTCTCCGAAATGCCGGGGATCAAAATCACGGATAACAAATCGTAAAGAAAAGTAGTTGAGTAAAAACAGGAACATGGTCTCATTAGCACGTGTGGATAATTCCAAGTCATAACAGTTTACATAATGATACAACGGTCTCATATTTTTTTGTTTCGTTTTGTTTTTTGTTTTGTTTTATGTTGTGTTGTTGTGTTTGTTGTGTTGTGTTTTGATTTGTTTTAGTTTGTTTTGTTTCGTTTTGTTTTTTGTTTTGTTTTATGTTGTGTTGTTTGTGTTGTGTTGTTTGTGTTGTGTTTGTTGTGTTGTGTTTTGATTTGTTTTATTTTGTTTTGTTTTGTTTTGTAAAACAACTGAAGCTCGTTTTACTTGGGAATTGGATGCAATCCGAACGTAAACATGTTTTTAACTGCTGAAAAATCAGGTGGCTAAAAATTAAGGCAACTGCAATAACTGCGTGTGTTGCTTCTGTTACACTCCTCGTTGCCTGCATGTTTCAAAAAGCATTTTTTTCTCACCACAGTTGTTTAAGGACAAAAGAGGATGATCTGTTGGAAGAGGTTCAGGAACTGTAACATCCAGTCCAGCACCCTACAATAAAACCACAAAACATAATGTGCAAAGGCGTACAAAAAAAAAAAAGAAAAGAGTTTTACTCTGTGCGACAAGTCCTCTCCTACAATATCTTATAACTAACTTTTTGGCAGGAAGAACGTTTTAAGACAAAATTTGGCCATACATGTGAGAACAATTAGAAAGAATATTCGTCCAGGAAATTCTCAAGGTCCGATGGAAACTCTTCCCCAGCAAACTTTCCTACCCAAATGTTGTAAACAACTTTTCTCTGTCAGGTGTGATTGTCAAGCACACCTTGCAATTGTGAATGCGGTTTAAGGAAGGGCACATTTACTGCTGACTTAAGATAAAGAGTCTTGCTCAGGAACAAAAAACATTGACCCGGCCAGAGCTCGAACCCAAACCTCTCGATGCACAGTCCAGCGCGCTAATTTCCAGGCCATCTTGTCCCTCGATAGAACAGCAGACGTTTACTCACCCATATTTGTCCACTCTTTAGTGCTTCATATAAATCCTCTTGGTTTACCACTCCTCCTCTTAATAAAGAAAAAAAAATCACAAATGTAAATGATCTTTACAGGTCAATCAAGTTATTTAAAAAGAAATGCACGTCTGTCAGACACTTGCGCAACAGAGCAGAACGAACAGCTTGTGAAATTTTACCCTGCTAAGAATGAGCGCGCAGAAATTACAAGTAACGCGCACACGAGATAGCAACACGCGCAGAGGAGAGCGTTCACATTCCTTTTCTCGTCCACACGTGAATTTCTCCTCGCGTGTGTCGGTCTTAGTTAATCGCGCATGATTTAAGGTGGCTAGTACCAGTTTCCTCGCGCGGGGAACAGGACCCTCTTGCGTGACACGCGAGAGACACGTGCGAAAGAAGCGCGAGATCAAAAGATGAAAATTGAAAACAAAGATGGCGGCGCGTGGATATTTTTCTACTTTTGTGAGAGTTTACCTAAGAGCGTGTATTTGATGTGTTGAGCGGCCACTGTGAACGCATCAGATAGAAACTAAGATAAAGACGATTTTCGGAGAAGTAAAGGTTGCTTGACTTCACATCTAAAAGAAATATTCAACCGATATGAAAGTTTGCGACGGCGAAAAAAGAACTCAAGTGAAAGATAATCTACCTGAACTTTACTTTACTTTACTTTAATCATTTTCTCAACAAGCTTAACATATATACAAGGCTGAGGGGAAGGCCAAGAAACAGGATAGGGTTCCCTTACAAAAGGCCACCCAAAAAAGAAAAACACTACACATACCTATATATATTTGTAATAATATAATACTAATAATAACAATAATAATAATAATAATAATAATAATAATAAGTTAGGTTAATTCAGTGTCTAACTGGTATAAATAAGCCTTACAAAGACTCTTAAAATCAGAAAGAGACTCAGACTTTCTGACATGCACAGGTAAACAATTCCAGGCTTTAACTGTTCTATGGAAATAGGAATATTTTAGCATGTTTGTTCTCGCATATTGAGTTTTAAATGACAAATCAGCATTTCTTAGTTCATATGCTGCATTTTTTCTGGAAATAATAAAACTAGATAAGTTAATATTTAAGAGTCCCTTTAAACATTTGTAAAAGAAGATCAAGTCAAGTAGAGTCCTTCTAGACTTAAGGGTTAGAAGATGGAGAGATTTCAACCGCTCCATGTAAGATCTTCCTTTGATCATGAGTCGCGTGGCTCCAGA